CACAAAATCTATTCTACAGACAATCCCTGGGGGATAGTCGACCGCAGCCCCAGTCGAAAACAGATGATCAGCGCTCCAAAAAAGGCTGTCTGCGTGGCATGCACCAATTGCGACACGGGAATCTCTTCGTTATTGTTTTCTATTTCTGTACATGTACCAAATCGTATTGCAAATATTTTAATATTGGACAGTACCAAACCTAACGAGCTAATAGTAGCTATTTTTTGCCTTACAACTTTAAAACTTAATCCGCAAACCAAACACTTTTTGTTCCACAACCCATTCCCACGCAGCTCCAATTTAGGATAATTTTTACCTGTTTTCCCGGGCGCCAGTCGCACGCTACCAAAAACGGAGTCTATGCCATGACGTCAAGAAGTCTATGGAATTTGAGGGCGCCAAACATTTGCGATAGTCAAAGTTCGGTTCTCCCTAGAGAGCCGACAAAAAAAAAGAATCAGGATCAGTTCTAACGTAAAAACTCATAGAAAACATCAAATTTCATAAACCAGTTGGCTAGAACATCAAAAATTTAGCAAAAAAGGATAAAAAAGCAGCATATAAAGCGATGGCCAAATCCAAAGACGTGAAAATGTATTTTTTTTTTTTTTTTTTTTTTTTTTTTTTTTTTTTTTTTTTTTTTTTTTTTTTTTTTTTTTTTTTTTTTTTTTTTTTTTTTTTTTTTTTTTTTTTTTTTTTTTTTTTTTTTTTTTTTTTTTTTTTTTTTTTTTTTTTTTTTTTTTTTTTTTTTTTTTTTTTTTTTTTTTTTTTTTTTTTTTTTTTTTTTTTTTTTTTTATTTTTTTTTTTTTTTTTTTTTTTTTTTTTTTTTTTTTTTTTTTTTATCATGTGAGTAAAAATGTAAGTTTACAAAGTATTGTACAAACGACTGCTTCAGCTAAAACCATGAATGAAAATGGAAACCCAGTGGATAGCCCCCAATAAACCCAATCGATGGCAAAAGCTGACAAAAATGTTTTCTTTCCCCGCTTCTTCCCCCTCACAAATACAAAAAATATGTGGACCCAAGAAATCGAAAGCCTCTGAGTGCAGATGGCTCAAATTAGCGCTTTGCTCTCCACGCATCACCCGCCAAACTTTTCATCTATTCACCCCTCGAGTTCCCGGAATTTTTGCAGGAGATGCAGGGGACTAGAATTAGGATGAGGGATGGGGAAGCCGGAATGTCAGTGAGATATGAAAGGAGTGTGTTATAGATATGTCAGAATGGGTCCTTTTAGAGGAGGAATACGCGTGTTTCCGTTAGAGTTGATGAGCAAGACAAATCGAAGCATTCAGATTTACACGTTAAGATCGAAAAATTGTTGAGCGCTTAATTAATGTGATTCTCTTCGATCAATTAAATTCTAGGAAATTTTCCAGCCGTCAACTTCAATAACAACTTCACCGAACTCGATGTTTGAACCGAGGCGTGATGAGTCTGGCTGAGGGAGACCCATTATGGGAATCATATGGCACGAGGGGCCGGGCGCATCCGTTTTTTTCTCATGGAACCCCCTCTCATTAAGTCAACTTTGCTCTGGCTTGGCCTTTATGCTAACTGGGCAGGGAATATGAGTCCGGCGGCTGGTGGGGCGAGCCAAAGCACTCAATCGGGTCTTATAGCCAAAAAGTGAAGGCATACTATTCTGTAGATATACCTTTTCTTTTTTTCCTCCCTTCCTTCCCCCCCTCCCCCTTTTTCCCCCCCCCCTTCTCCCCCCCCCCCCCCCTTTTTTTAAACCTTTTAACCCCTTTTTTTTTTTTTTTTTCAACCCCCCCCCTCCCCCCCTTCTTTTTTTTTTTACTCTACCCCCTCCCCTTCCCTTTTTTTTCCCCCCCCCCTTTAATTTCTTTTTTTTTTTACCTTTTTTCCCCCTTTTTTTTTTTTTTTTTCCCTTTTTTTTTTTTCTTTTTAAATCCCCTTTTTTTTTTCTTTTTTTTTTTTTTTTCCCCCTTTTTTTAAAAATTCCTTTTTTTATTTTTTTTTTTTTTTTTTTTTTTTTTTTTTTTTTTTTTTTTTTTTTTTTTTATATTTTTATTTATTTTATTTAATATTTTTAATATTTTATTAATTATAATAATAAAAAAAAGCCGGGGGGGGGGGGGGGCCGAAAAGGGGGGGGGGGGGGGGGGGGGGGCCCCCCCCCCCCCCCCCCTTTTTTTTTTTTTAATAATTTTTTTTTTTTTTTTTTTTTTTTTTTTTTTTTTTTTTTTTTTTTTTTTTTTTTTTTTTTGGTTTTCCCTCCCTTTTCCGAAAAAAAAACTTTTCTTTTTTCCCCTTTTATTACAACATTATTCTTTTGAAACATAAAAGCATATACACCGTCAGAACAGCAAAAAAAAAGTCCGACTCGACATCTAGGTGAAAGCCCCACCTCGAATTCCAATTTCATTTATCACCTAGACGACCCCCTACTTTCTAGCTGCCGGAAGACATCCCAAATTCAAGGCGTTCCGTGCACGATGTGTGCTTGGATAAGCCGTCTCTGGAAACATCACATGCAAATATAACTTAACCCTCCCTTCCCATAACCCCCCGACGTTGGCATTCACCCTCCCCAACACCACTTCCCAATTATCTCTATTTTCCCTCCCGGGGTATTGAAACATTGCCTGAAAAGAGGGACGCAATTCAGGAAACAAATTAGGCCGGCAGCCCAGCACTTTTTTGCTGCTATTCTTGATGGCCAGGGGGCATCAGAAGGGGGCCCTCCGGGGCTCTCTAATTAATGTCAGGACGTGTGGCAGAGCCGAACATTTTTCGTGATGGAGTGCGTTGATTTACAAGATCAGAGAACGAACATTGGTTTGCTACAAGGCACAGGGTTGGAAAGAATGCGTCTGAAAATTCAGGTCTAGTTTCGAAATTTATGAAAAAGCCTCAACAAGCTTTAATGAATAGTGTTTCTATAAAGGCAGTAACGTATGGCACGCACCAAAAAATTTAACCCCGTAATTATCAAAATGAAACGGGCAAAACCACTAATTTAGCTAGTTTTTTGCGTCACCTGATGCATCAGTTAATGTCAAGCATAGGTAAAACCTGGACAAAGTCTCAGACAAAACTCTCAGACCCCAAACATCGAAACTCAAATTGCGAATGCAAACTTCAGGTGCGCACGCTGAGTCAGCGAATCCCTAGTAGAAAGAATTAGGCGAGTATTTTTGCAGTTAAGTGGTCCCCAAAGGGGGATGGAATATCGAATCATAAGCCGAAAAAAACGGAGAATTGTGGTGCAGCTAGGGTTAAAAAACCTCGGAAGTGAGAGTCGGTAGGTGCCACCCAGCACATCTTTCAGGAAGAGGCCGAAAATGAGCGGTTCGATGTAGTGGTCCCTATGGTCTTTAGAGGAGATGTTGAGATGCAGGGAGAGGAGGAGAGAGCTATGCCCACAATGATTAATTAGATTTGTAGCAAGGACATTAAGGGATGGCCGAAAGGGACGGGCGATCCGTTTAGACACCTCGAAAAACGAGCGTGCGCGTTGATGTTTGGGATGCGTTTATTTGCAGGAATTGCTCCGAGTGCCGAGTGCTTCTAGGTAGTAAAAAAGTTAATCAGATCTTATGCCAAATATACCTCATATGGGTAAGAGTTTACATTATCCCCCGCCCAGCCGAAAGTTCCCAAAAACTTTTAAGCCCACCAATCGGTAGCCCTGGGTCCCAGCTTTGACCCCACTGGCTGGGAATTGCAAAAAATACATATTAAAATGTATACAATTAAATCAGTGTTGGTAGAATATTAGGATTTTGCTTGCTTTTGCCTTAAGTATTTTATTTTATATCATTTGAGGCTGAAGTTAAAATTCATAGTATAATTTTGATGCTCTATCGAGTGGCATATCAAAATTTCGAAAACTAGCTAATTGTCATCATTTCTAAATATTATTTTGTTTATGCCATAATCTTTTTTGATTGCAATTGTCCAGCAGTGATTAAACACTTAGGCGGGAATTTCGAAAAATGGAAGATCAATTAAACCGTGAGCCGCCATTACTCATAAAAACATTGCTCATAACCTCATTACTCATAAATTTTAATTTGTTTTCTAAGTTTCTAATAATACATTCTAAACTGTATTCTCTTGAAGTTGAATAAAAGATTAGAATAACTGGCTGATTCTATTCCCAAAAAAGCAAAAAAATTTCTCCCCGGCCGGGAATTGAACCCGGGTCTCGCATGTGACAGACGCGGATACTAACCACTATACTACCGAGGATACGAGAGGGGGGAGAGGAGGAGGGCCTTTGAAGGGTGGAGGGACTTCCGAAAGGAAAGCAGCTTGAAGTCGATTGTCTATGACATTAATCATTTGAATAAATCCTTTAGGATTGTTTTCGAGTCTCGTCTGTTGGAGATAATTGGCTTTAGCTTCTGACCAAAAACGCACCCCCCCCCCGAACGCTATTTGACAAAATTGCTTAAATGATGACCGGAAGTGCCTGGCGCCTCTCTTTCATTTACAATTATCGAAATGTTCGACCAGTAACCAGAACAGACGCGTAAATCGCATATGTTCGGTTTAAACCTCAAAGCCAAATAAAGCGGTGGCAAGACAACCAGAATTTTTTCCAAATACAGTAGATCTCGACAACGGTTGCACATAGACTTTGACCACCAGCTCGAAAAATGCACTGCAACCCTCGAGCCAAGGAGGTGAAACGAGAAATCATTAGACATGCCAAGAGGAAGCAATCTACTCCAGCCCAAAATGAGACCCGCCATCCACCAGAAAGGTCCACAAAGATCTCGCTCTCCAATAGCCCCCCAAAAGAAACCGAAAATGACGGCTGCACAGACCATCCGCCCGATTTCACCGCCGTTTTTTTTTGCTGTAAAAAAGCGAAGAACGTCAAAGGTGTATCTCCCAGTGGGACCTACAATTTTTGGGGAAAGGTCTTTTTGATAGGCTGCGCTAATTATAGTTTGTGTGGAAGGAAAAGCGAAAATGAAAATTTTTGCTACTATTCAAAGTACTTTTATTACGCCAGTGTCACAAGTCAGGCTTCAGAATGTGCAAAAAGGGATTGGTATGCTTTGGGTCGACCTCGGCGAGAGCTGAAAATAATTAGTAAAAACCTGAGATAGATAGAAAACCTTGCTCAGTGCATTCTTTCCATTCATCCAGCGTCACCCGCCGATTTCCATCCAAGTCACAGAAGCGGAAGAAATTGCGTGAACACGTCTTCACCTCAAAAACAAGGGTGATGCCTGAAATAAAAAATGTTGGCCAAATACCTTTCGCCACCCTCTCAACAACTCTTTATAGGGCTTCCATTCACGGCGTTCAATATTCTAAAAATCTAGGATTATACGCAATTCGAGAATCGGCGAACTTTATTCTTATTTTTGTCAAGGGCATCGAACTTCCACTGTAGTACCCGCTCATCAGTGACGTTGCCCGATCCTCCACTCATTATCATCTCCGTTCTAAAAATACGAATTAAAATTAAAGCGAACCAAGGTTGAAAAGCCGCTTCGCGACTTTTCAACCCTGGCCCCGTCTGACCCCATTTTATCCTTCACTTTGCATAATTGTCCTAAATTCAGATGACCAAAATTGAAAAAACAATCTCTTCTACCCCTTTATATAGTCGAATCCCCACTTCCGGTCTATGTTAATTATTCCTAACAAAGAAGTTTTCACAAAATTTAAATTTAATGTTGAAAATAGGTAATTTTGTTAAATCGCATATGCGTGCAGTCATGTCCAGGCCATTACACACCTAATGACGTATCATACATACCTTAAAATTCATCCACTATCGAGATATCCTCCGGACAGACACGGAAGTGGATGCAAAGTGGCACACACACACACAGACACTATTTTTTTATATATATAGTAGGATCTAGATCAAAACGAAAACACTACTTACTTCAACGAATTCAGAACACGTGAATAAAATTTAGCCCGTCGTCGTCCTTTGCAATCTAAACTTTAGGTATTCGGCCAGTATAAGGATATCACGAACTTTTAAAAACATGTTTTCCATCGGGCTGCTTTGTCAAAGTGGCTATTTTCTCCCTTCGATTACAGTTTGGTCGACGCCCTCGTAATGAATCTGTAATACCATCCACTCAAAATTTATACAAAAATAAAGCAAAACCTGAAAATGGCTCTCCACTCAATTCATCCACACACCAGCAAACCCGCGAATCCTGGTGGCACTGTGTTTTGGCATAAAGTCTAAATCACTAAAAAATCCGAATCGAACATCATACGCCGGATTCTTATTCTGGCAGGTCGGCAAAAAGTTTGTCGGCGACTTGCTCTTGGCCTTTTCGCGTTGCGCCACACAATCAAGCTTTACTTCTGGAATTCATATGAATTTCGCGGTAGGGTAGGCATGTGCTTACCGGCATTAGCAATTGTGTGGAATTTGTTGGCTTGTTCGGTAAGAAAAGCAATATTCAGTTTTTCATCAGCATCATCTTGAGGGTTGCGATTAAAGTTGCTTAAGCAATTTGCATACCCGTGAATGGATGAGAGATCGCACCATTGACAACTACCAGAATGACGAGAAGTTTTGTGTTCATCTGGACCGCCATCGGCTCATTGTCGCTAGGTTGGTATTTAGATTTAGATTTATGGATGTAATTAAAAGGGATAGAACATAAAATGAGTAATCACGTCGGAAATTGCTACAAGACGGTTGGTAGGAGCGGGTCTAGTTGACTGGGGGCAAATGACTTAATCCTGAAGGGAAACAGAGCACCCGGCTGTGTTAGGTTCTTTCGATCAATTTTTTGCCCTAAAAAAGTTCTGACGTCAATATTGCGGCGGAGAAAACTACAATAAAAATATTGGGAAAATCGAACGTTTCGCAACTATTAAAAGGTGACCTTGGAAAAAATTATCGGGAGACAGGTGAATTTATTGAACTAAATTTTTATTTATTTATTTTTGTTTTAATTAGAGCTATTACGCTCGTTCTGACCTATATCCCTTCAACGTTCTACACTCTGCAAAAAATACATTCGGACCCCCGCCAAAATCGGCGCCCCCGGTAGCCATGGTAACCCGAGGCCACCAAAATGGAGCAGCTGGTAGGAAACGGCTCAAAGCCATCCGAAACACCAAAGCAACATGCCACCAGCCAGCGATCTTGCCATTAATTCTCGACTATCATCTGATCCGCAAAAAATGGAAACGGTAGGTTGTAAAACTTACGATAAATCTGCTTATTAAACATATTCTATCGCATCAAAATTAATCTGATTCTGACCTCTGATTAAAATATCAATGACTTTTAGGCAACACGAAGAACAAAAATCTTGATCGATCAGTCAAAACGGGAAACTTTTGGTATCCACTCTGGATATCGGGGAATGACAAGAAGATTAAAATCACAGTGGATCGTCGACCCGTGGGTTTTACGAAGATTTAAACAAATTATTCTTAAGGAATACCGACGAAATCTCCGAAGGAACATTGGCTGAATGTAAAGTATTCATTCTAGCCGGCCCCAGGGCGAAACTCAACTCACAAGAGGTATCAACAAACTTAAAAGGCTTTTGATAACCATAATTTTTAGATGGAAGCACTGCGCGGATATCTGAAAGATGGTGGATCGCTGCTAATTCTAGCGAGCGAAGGCGGTGAAGTTGCAGCAGACACCAACATAAATTATTTACTCGAGGAGTATGGAATCATGGCTAATAATGGTTTTCTCGTACCCCTTGAATTGATACTAACGTTTTTTTAGATTCTGTAATTCGAACAATTTTCTACAAATATTTCGACCCAAAGGAGGCCCTCATCTCGAATGGGGTCCTGAACCGTGAAATTGCCGTGGCCAGTAGGAAATCGATCTCCAGTGACCAGAGTGCAAATTCACAGTGAGTTCTGATGATTTAGATTTTGAGAAAAGCACATTAAGAACATTATCTTTCGTCTACCCTTATGGCTGCACTTTGAATGTTAACAAACTGGCAACAGCCGTTCTGTCGACAGGAAGCGCATGTTTTCCGACTTCTCGACCTGTAGCAGCATTCCATCACGTTCAGGTTGACGCTTTGTAGAATAAAAAATACGTATATATTTCAGGACGGCAAGGGTCGACTAGCTGTCTGCGGATCATCTCATATTTTCCACGACTCCTATATTGACAAAGAAGAGAATGCAAAAATCTTTGTTCGGGCCTAAACTTACTACTTCAATATATTTTTTAGGAAGTCTTCATGGAATATTTGGTGAATGGACTAGCGCTGAATAAGATCGATTCAGCCGAGCCGGAGATTAATGACTATAATCCGATTCCTGATCATATTCATCTCAGCGAACAGCCCAAGGTTTCTAAAAGCCGGGAACTAGCCAAGTAATTTGTTTAGGTATGCTTACAAGAAGGCGAGTTTGACGTCCAAATCGGCGGCGATTTTTTACGCCTTTTTGATTCAACCATATCGTCGTTTGACTTATCAACGTGGCCAGCCGTGATCAAGTAGAGAGGCGGAAATTTTAATTTTAACCAAATCTAGTGCATATGAAAACCTGGGGATGAAATGTGAGCAGCTAACACTAATTACACCAAATTTTGAAGTGCCACTCCCTCCATTACAACCAGCGGTAGCAAAGGTTCAAATTTTTAGAAACTTGTGGCCTAGGTCTTTCCACCAAACTTCAAGGAGCCCCCAAATCCACAACTCGAGCTATTCGATTTGGATGAAATGTTTTCATCGCAAGAAACCAGATTGGCACAATTGGCAAACAAATGTATGCATTTTAATAAATTTTGCATCTTGCCCGACCTCATCTAAACGAGTCGATTGTTTTAGGCGAAGAAGAAGACTTGGAATACTTTATCAAAGAAGCTAGTGATATCGTTGGTATCAGTCTACCAATAGATGAGAGGACGCCGAAACGGATTCTCGAGCACCTCATCCATCAAATATTCGAATATAAGAAGTTGAATCAGGTTTGCTTATTTATTGTCTTAATAGGTGGATACTGTAGGACGACGAAAATGAGAACTATCCGGTTCCACAGTCGCTTTTCGACATATCGGCGGGGCAGCAAGATGGTGACATGGAAGAGGAGGAACATAGCTTTTCTGATATTGATGATTACGATGATTTGCAATAAATATACACTTTTGTTTTATTGAGATGATTAGCGTCTTGTCCATTGTTCTTCCTTCATTTTGCGATACCTGAAAAAATGGCTTCTAGCTGCGAAAATTACGAAATTCATGAAATAACAAAGCTGCGTTTGACTGTAAGAAGGTTTAATTTTTGCCATACCTCTGCGCATAAGGGCTTTGATACTGGGCCCTGAGGCAGTAGAACAAATCGTGTAGGCAGGTTGGCAGGGAAGTTTGTTGGAGGGCAATGTTTACCACGTTGTCAGCTCTAAATTGGATGAACATTTATAATGCATTATTCTACCTCATATAAGGATAGTTGCCGCCTTTTGAGAAACGATAATCGTTTCTCAATTGTTGTACACTTTCTGGATGTCCGTCATACCAACCGGAAATGAAGGACGGTAGGTAGTAATTGGGGTAGTACCTGGATTTTAGAGTCTTTCTTAGCATCAATCCCGTACTTACCAATTTCCATGTCTACCATAATCGATTGTCGTCTGTCGATTGTACCATGTGTACTTTCCCAACTCCTGCGGGACATTCGTATCACGATAGTACTGCTATAATACAGACTTGCGCTAATATCCTGGTCTAAACCTGTCGAGCCTGCTGCATCGTCAACCTATCCGCTTCCAGGGAACCGGGATGTGTGCCCGCTACATAATTACAATCCGATACAAACTGAAAAATATAAAACTGAATTAATTGAACAATATACCTGCACAATATCAGCGCAGCTCATATCCGCAGGTCGTGGCTGGATTTTATCACAATTATCGCGGGACCATGAGAGTAGTGTTTCTGGGGTGGGATTCCATCTGAATTTATTTAAAATTGATTATTTATCAATTTTCAAACCCAACAAAAATCTAAACTTACTTTGCCGCAAAATTAGCAAACGATCTGCACATCTGTGCCGTGGGCTTGGCCGAAGCATTTCCGAGTAAAAATGCTATAGAGAGAGTCCATAAACACAAGCCGGACCGCATTTGGCCTTGTGGTAATAAGGGAGGCAAAAAAGGAGGAGAACGGACAACGAATCAATCCCTGAGCATCTCGAGGTGATTGGGGCGGAAAGAAAAAGAAAAACGGAGCTATCTCCATGTGGGGGAGATTTTTGGAAAACAATTGATGATGTGAAGGTGTGAGGGGAAAGGTGGAGGTAGAACTGTTAATTTTAACAAATATTATTACTTTGTCCTTATGGAATAAAAAGTAGAGACCCAGATACCGGTATTTAAGTCATTTTTGAGCACTGAGGAGCCTCTTTTTCAATGAAAGTTTTAGGTCTGCTTGCCATTCATAATATCTGCGCCAAACGTTGTGCAAATTAATACAAAACCCTTTATTTTCGCATATATAGCTATTAATTACATCCACATTTATAAACTCACAGTAATCCGAAGCAGGGTTTTCCTATGACCCGAACTATAAATGAGAATTGAGGGGAGAAAGAGCTGAAAAAGAGAGCGACGATTATCACGAGTCAGCACAAAATTTTATACGTCGCAGATCAAAAAAAATCGGTCAATAAGGCTCGAAACCTAAAAATATACAGCAGCTTTTTGTGTGATCACGGTACGACACATCGGACAGCGACTTCCCGAATTTGAAGCACAATTCCGACACATGACGATATGACGGCACGGATACAAAATTGTATTCGGCTGGAATTTTTGGGTTTTCGGGAAACCGAAAGCAACCTCACCTTCTCTTCCAAGCAAACACAGCAATTAAATGGGACCTGAGAGATCTCAAGCTTATCCACCCGACTGCGGAGTCGTGAATTTTCTTCGACAAGCTCTGTGTGTCGCCTTAGAACCTAAAACAAACACTTTCGGAAAAAGTTTTATGTCAAACCTGATCGTAATAGTCTTCTGCTTTTTCTAGGGAGAGTACTCGTGCACGAAGGGATCGATTTTCCTATAACACACAAAATTAGGAGTGCTACCTTAGGATCATTTTCAAATTAAAGCTTTGGTCTCGGGGCGCACCGGAGTTCAAACAATGGGTCGGTAAGAAAGCACGAACGCATGAACACACCGTGATAAGGCGTATGATGACGTCATGACGGGCTTCTTCCGCAAGAGACAACTCCTATAAAAAATATTGTTTTGCTGATGTCGCCACATTTTTTTGCAAATTTTATTTGCAAAAAGAGGCCAAAAAGCAGTAATTTTTTTGAGGATCTAGAACTAACCGCTTTTCCACTTTTTTCGTCCACCTCTTTCGGTTTTTTCCGTTTCACCGGCTCGTCTTCGCTGGACGACGCTTCAGTATCATGGAAATTCTTAAAAAAGTCATATATAAATAACTACGGAGCCTCGTACCCAAATATCTTCCTCAAAAGGCATGATTCGTACTCTAATCGGCATCTCAACAATGTCCAAAAGATCGACATACTAAACCAAATAAATTCTATCAAAAGCCCAGCCTTCTGAACCAACCCTCCAAAACGTGCGCATATCCGAATTTGCGGAAGCCGTTGTACTCTGGAGTACAAAATGGAGCGGCTGTGCTGAGTGGCGCACGGAGGCAATTGACGGGAGCACGAATTGGATTTCTACGGATTGGCCGGGTAGAAGTTTGCCTGAGCGATTTGTTCGAAAAGTTTTTCAAATTGCTACCTGATACCGGGCTGACATAAAGTGAATAGTATACGGAATGTGATGAATAGACTCTGTAGAACATTGTGGATGGGGTTGGGTTGTGCACTTTTAAGGAAGCGGTCATTTTGTGTGGGGAGCCCGCTGTGACGCCTGAAAATGGGACATAAACCGTATCTTAAATCGATCGTTCATGCGCATGATCGGGGGGTTATCGTGGGACCAACTCTTTTTGCCTAGAATCAATATTTTCAAATATAAATAACGCCAGTGTTTTACACGTTTTTTCTAACTCTAAATGTGTAAACTTTACGTATTTCTATTAAAACATATCAAAATATCGGTTTTCCGACAAAAATGGCCAATTTTTGACCAAGTGTTCGATTTTCAAAATTGTTTGGAATTTTTTAGGTAGTTATTTTTAGTTTAAATATAGTTATATTTTACCAGGAATACCAAAAAATATATCCTAAGAAGTTATTAGACATTACAAGACGTAGAAAAAGTTCGGTCTTACCCCCGATAATGCGACAGAACCTAAAAAAGTTTTACCGTACCTCGAAATATTAGCTCTTCTGGTTCAACATCAACCATGCCTGCGATTTCTAAAACTCCAAAATTGATTTGTGCAAAAAAACTAGAAAACGTTGAATTGATGAAATGATAGCTATGAACAAGGAAAAGCCCCGAAGCAGCTGATGGGCAGGTTATCAAAATGCAAAGTTGTCTCTGTATGCGTGGAGGTCGAGTGACCGGCGTGATGCCGGACAGAAACCAGAAAGATTATTTCGGCTGGGTGCAACGCCAAAAAAAAAGATGTCACATGCATCCAGGCTGGCCTTTTTTATAGGGCAGTACACGAAAAACTATGAAAATTCTAGGAAAGGGAGGGATTACTATACTGTTTTTTTGCGGTGGTAGTAAGATCTAAATCAGTTCATGGGTGAAATAAAAAAAGCGTTGTTTGGAGGGTTTTTTAAAGTGCGCAGTCCGACAAGTGCTACGAGAGCTTCGATGTGCGTCTGAAAATGCTAATTTTATACTAATCTTACCGTATCTACAAATTTTATGAAATTAGTATACGATAAACACATAATCATCGATGCACTAATGAGAGGTGTATCTGCGCACCAAAGCGGGAAAATTGGCGGGAAAACCTCTTATAATTGCAGAAAAGCTTCCGAGCAGCCCGAGGGTGTTCTGTTCATGGTGGGGTCTCGTGCTCCAGAATTTGGGTTTATAAACTGAAAGCTGACTGACTACTATACTGTTACTGACCTAGTGGTATTATTTTCAACCACCGTATGACTACGGTAATTGGAATAACTTTTAGGAGTAAGGTGTGAGAGGGGGGATTGTCATGGAGAGTCTGAGGTGCGATAACGGAGGGTCGGAGTTGTTTACTGGGTGAGGGGACTGCAGAACTGGAATCGCCCTTCCATCCCGCCGGCTGGCACCTCCCCGGAAATCGGCCATCGATTTTACCGGAATCAGGTGTTCGAAATGGCGGTGAAAGTAGAGGGTTAGGCCGACCGTTGAGGTGAACTAACATCAGGCGAAAGTTAGAACGAAGATTGAACTGGGCAGCTAAAATAAATTGGGTCATAAACTTCCGCTGGCGCGTCAGGGGGGCTAGAGAAAGTGCTGAGAACGGATACATTAAAGTCCTCGGAAGGTGAAATGTCTAAAAAGTCCAAAAGAAATACCACTAGGGAAATTCGATCCAAGCTCCTTGTAAAAAAATTGATTAAAGCTAGGTTTTTTAAAATGTTGGCTTATGGCCAAAAAAATGACGGCAAAACCTTGCCTTAGTGCTTAAAAAATATAGAGGATGATTCGAAAATCTTTTGGAAGCTCCATTTGCTGCCTGAAATTTACAAAATTCGGATTTGAATATTTCCCTAGACCTTAACTTTAAAATAACCAGGGAAAAATTTGAACCCCATACCAGTCTTGTCAAAGATTGGGAAAAGATTTGAGAGAGAAAGAATTAGAGCAAGGAACGTTCTAAAGTGACAGTTCAGTTCATCGACCCGTCTGAACGAGGAGCCGGTTCACGAATCAGCTGATGCCGGTGGCTGATAGCCAAAACCGGAAAAACAACAATAACCCGCCCCACACACCGTTCGCCAATCCCTAAATAACAAATAGACTGCCGTATCGCCGGGAAAATGCCTAAGAATCAAATATTTTCTTTTAATAAGATAAATTCTGCAGCTGTAGACTATTGTAGATCTAATGAGTGAAAAACTGTAAATTGTATTCAAATTTTAAAATTTAAAAAATCATGAGAAATTCTGAGCAGTTTGAACTGCTATAGTATATTATTGTTCGAATTACTGCCGTATTTTGCATATATCTGTGTTGTTCATACTATTTTTAAAGAATAATTTCTTTATATACCCATCACTGTACAAACATTAAAAACGAACACACAATAAAACACATCACATGAAAGGAGGGGAATTGAGCCTGCCAAGTGACCCGTTTTAGGCGTGGAAGCCGTGTTTGTAAGACAAAATACATTTGTACATATAGCGAGCAATATGGTACAATTTTTAGCTATTTGAGAAAGGATCTGCGTTGGTATTCAATTCTCAATAAAGGCACGTCTTCTCTTCTTGTGCCTCAGTTTCTTGTGTTTGCTCTCAACGTTTGAGCCGGAGAAGGTAGACACGTCGACTCCTGGAAAAGCGTCACTTGAAACCTGGTATTATCCGTGAACTTCGTGACGCTACATAATTGTAGGTTTTCTCCTAGCTTCTCCCTTCCCCCAAATGTTTCATGTCTTGGAAAACTTTGAAACGCGAAATTTCTTGGAAAGCTTGTCAATTTTTCGAGAGTAATGTGATGATCTTTTTGGCAAATTGTCATGCGTGTTTGAGCGAGCTTCAAGAAACAATTTTTCGGAAGCACCGTAAGAATCACAAGCTGTAGAAAGATTTACCTTTCGGATACAGGCATCCGAGCGGCGAGAACCAGCAATTCCGATCATATTTCGTGGGCATTGGGTGGTTGAAGCGCTTCGCATCGTCCGTGAAGTCGTTCGATTCCTCGGATGTCAAGTCAAAGGAGTAGGCTTCGGTGGATGCATCGATGTCATTGTCCGTTGTAGATCGGGATAAGCGGATGAAGCGGCTAAAAAAAACACAAATAGAGTTGCTGTTTTGAATTTCGATTGTTTCCACTGTTTCCAAAACTCACCAGCAAATTGAATCCACCATGCTGAGGGCCAAGATTATGCAGAGTATCCGGAGATGCATCTGAAAAATTGGAATATAGAAAAGTTATGATAACTGGGAAGACAAGACCGGAATGAATGAAGTCTGAAAGATAAAGAATTTTCCAACGACAGTTGAACCGCAAAACTGGCACAACTAGAAGGTTTTTCCAGAAATTGCGAAAAACACAGTAATTTCTTGTGCCAGTGGCTCAATGTTCAGGCTCGCATTGTAAGGTCACGTTAACTGATGCGGGTCGCCAAGAAAAATTTGGATGATTTGGAGGCAGGCGTTTCCGGTGCTTTAAAGAAAGTTCAGAATGCCAATTGTAGAAGAATTGAGGCCAGCAATAGCGAAAACAAACGGCCGGGTCTCGACTACCGTATCCCCCAAAAGGAGCAGTAGAAGAAGACTATCCCTCACCCATCTGGACCGCTACTTTTATAGGCAGAGGGGCGGGGATGTGATGCCCCCCGGCACTCTTACTCTTTCACACTATTTCAGTGAATTCAAGGGCCCACCCCTTTCGGTGTGTATTATCCTTTGAAAGGCTCCCGATATATCCCCCTCCCTCCCTCCTTTACCACCACCTTCTTCACTCAAGTTTTTCAGGAATACGATAAGCCGCTTTGGGCGAGTGAGTGGAAGGGTGAATGGAAGAGTGAGTGGAGGATCACCTGTTCAGGTCGAAGAACTATGGCTTGGATCGTAAATTTAAGTACGACGGCCTTTGGCGCTTTGGAATAAGCGTATCACGGGGTTTTTGGGGGTGGTTGAGATTTGGATTTTGGCCAAGGATTGGTCACTGGTAGATTCAGGGCTTTAGGAAGCGGATCTGTTCGAACGCGTTTCGACATAGGCCCCGGTCTGTTTTAGTGCAGAATTTTTTACTGATTAAAACCACGTTTTCAGAATCTGCGTAACGACCAAAATAAGAAAGCGATGACGTTTTAAAGGTCGAAAAACCGGGAAAATTGGCTTTTGGGCATTTTTCACACTTTAAAGGTAAATTTTGATCGGCGAAAAATCTGAAAACTCCGTGGACACTAAAAAACGCCTCTTTTCGAGATATCAAACGTCTTCAAAAAATATTCTTGCAATGCCTACTAGCCTTAAAACTCAGTATAACAACAAACCTCTTGGCCACAACACCTCCATTTATAAAAATATCTAAGTTCATTTACACGCCTCACCAGTTTTTTGAAACATTCCCAATTAAGCCTGGCTGCCGAGAATTTTGGAACAAGGCTTCCCAGAACTGAGCTGTGTGTTCTGTCTGCGGCCTACCGTAGTCCCGGGATCAAAACAGCGCATATGAAAAAGTTTTCAGCGGTTTAGACGTTGTACCAAAGGGCTAATGACTACAGCAACTTTCGGGCGATCCCTGAAAAAACTGGACGAACTTTTGGTGGGAATTCCGAAGTAAGCAAATAGTACTTTTTGCTCTGGCAAATATTGCGGAGCTGGTCGAGCTAATAGTAACTTAGAACTATAGGTCAGCCCGTTTTATTGATTAATTTATCAAGATAAAAAACAGAAAACTAAAATAGAAGAATGTGGCATTTTGGTCCATCTCAAAAAAGTTCCGATCGCACCGATCTAACTGCTCAACATCACTTGCAAAGTTCATACCGTAGTCCCAAATACTTTTCCGAAATTGCAAGACAATAACCTAAGCCCTAGACGGTGCCGTGACTTCAGGAAAATATTGCCTCTTAAGAGTGCTTTGAATGGGCCCCAGCACGGGTGGGCGCCGTCGAATTTCGTGCTCCATTTCACTTCCATTTCGGGAATAGCTGCGGGCCAGTCAGTGGAATTAGTATCCGCTTGAGTCAACAGCTTCTTAAATGTCCACGACGTCAAAAAGATATCACTAGAATTTGAATGTCAATGCGTCAGAAATCAATAACTTTTTCGTGGTCGTCATTTTGGGGAGAAAAATTCAGCTTCTAGCAATCCGGGGTTGAAATTTTTGGGGGTCTACAGTGATCCGAGGATCTCTTCCTTGTCGAGCGAGATGCGTGAAAACAAGCGTCATGCTCGTTTTCTTGAAACACAGGCTAAATTGGGGGCTTGGCAAAGTATTGGTAAAGTATAATTAACAGTAGAAAAAATGCTCAGAGTCCAGTTTTGTCTTAATGGTATAGTATGTGGTGAAGTTTGGGACGGGATTTTGGTGTAAATAGTAAAATTTATGTACACTGGTATGTGTTAACAGATGACGGGTTCATGGGGTGGTGGATGGGTGTCGATGATCGGTATTTGGACGGGGGCTAGCCGTTCGTCATTTGGTGCCATGCGGTCGATGTTCGCATTGTGGAGATCCATAGATGAGCCTAAATTTGGATATTTTGAGATTTATTTTTGGAAATTCACTTTACAGGTAGACGTTTTCCTCTCTATCTTGTGCAGAATTTTTCGCTGATTAATATATTAAGCAAAAGTACGGAGTCGGAATTTTCTGAATGCTCTGAACGATCTAACACGGAGTGCTTTTTTTGGAGTCGTCGGCTAAACCTTACGAAACCAAGCTCATTTGATAGAGAATTTGATTCTGAACAAGGCTCGGTTGTCCTTTTTAGCGGAATGGCTATCCCTGATTTTATAAAATTGTAAAACTGCACCATAGAACCCGCCCCTCTCGAATCGCTCGAAGGGAACCCGCGGTAAGAGATGACCAATAGTTTTTTAACTTTATAAAATCGGAGACAGCGATTCCGCAAAAGAGGAAAACGGAGCCTTGTTCAGAATCGAATTCTGTATCGAATGAGCTAGGTTTCGTACGGCTTTGCCGATGACTAAAAAAAGCACTGCTTGTAAGACGAAAAAACGCGCAAAATAAACCACTTTTCAGGGTTTCCTGACCTAATCCGTTCGTAACTTTTGCAACATTGCGAGCCCGCAACCCCTTTACCGAATTGAAAGCTGAACAGTGGGTGTGCAGAACATTTATAAAAAGGGTGTCTATTACCCGGGCCAGACGGTACGTGACAAAGTTGATGGTGGTTGGGTTTAGGAACTAGTTAATTCAAATAGAGATTTGGGTGGGGGTTTTTGAAGAAGCTCATTGTATCTTCAAAATAAATCCACCTAATTTACACCCCCGACGAAACGCAAAAACGCCTCCTTGCCAGAAGGCCTACGCACTTGGCAAGCCGCCCCAAAGCCAGAGATCCTTCCATTCCTTTTCCGGAACACAAACAATGTTTCATTTATTCGAGGATATCCTTTACCGTGCTGACGCTTTGTGCGCATTACAATCGTACACATCTCCCCAAGTTCAATTGTACCACATTCCCCCGTGCCAGTTGTCACTTCCACAAATCCCCCAGATTTCAAGAAATTGCTTGGCTCCAAAACGAGCGCCGGGGGCTACTCCCACGATCCCCCCATTAAACTAGTGGACGTCAGCATTCATTCAAAATCCGATCCATGTGGACGCGGGGATCAGCACCTCTCGCCACAATTATCATCATGATTCCCGGCTATTTTGGGAAAATTTGATGAGTTGACGCCGTGGAGGTCTAGTTAATTTCAGCATTTTTACGATTAAGTACGGTAAAATCAGCGCGTGAGGGTTGGGAAGATTTTTGAAACTTCGGGCAAAATGCTACCATATAAAAAAATGGTGTTTTTGTATATATATTTGGATGCGACTTTCCGTATATCTCAAGAAAGGTTTTTGAACGTGGAAAAATGTCATTTGGTGTCGACCGGAATCGACAATGTTTTCAAAATCTCGTGTTAAATATGAAACTTTGATGTTTCTGTGAAATTTCTACTTATTCCTTTGTAAGGAAGCAATTAGCTCACAGTAAAATTAGTGATGTTAGTTGTTTATAAAAAAAGCTAGAAAGGGCTATTTTTAAGGTTTTCACGTCACCTTTCAGTACCACCCTTTTTGATAAACTTTGAGAAACCCCCCCCCCCCCCACTTAAACCATCTCTATATTTTTATCATAATCCGAATCCAAACCTTTACATCCCGAAAAGGGATGCACAGCCAGGGCGGCCGGTTGTTGCGACGCCATCCGTGGATCAGTCGGGTCTAAAAACCAAGGGTATTAGGTTCTCAACGGTGCAAGTTCAAATCCTACCCCGAATCCTAGGTCGCCCCCACTAAGTCGTCTTTTTTCGATTCAATTTTGAGTGTTTACTTGGAAAACAATCTTTCTAATGCCCGTTCCCCCCACTAAAGTGGTGTACCAGCGAATATTGAATCCAGAAATCTATCCAGAAATCCGCCGAATTCTAAGCCGGCACATCCCCCACGCTCGACCATCGCAGAAAGTTCGAAGCAGGCTCTTGGTTTGATGGTAAATCCAAGAAAAGGTTTTTGAATAGGGGTCTGCAAAAATCGAGAAAAACCGCTTCGCGGTTGTCAAAGTCCAAGACTGATAACGTTCTGAATTTTTCGTTTTGTTGCAAAATCTCGATGGAAAAACTTAATAAAATTCTGCTCTGACACGACCGTAAGACCGACCGCGATTTTAACAAAATTTGATTTTAATTCAATTTTCAAAATAACTAATTATAGGCAATCTTGGCAATAATTTTTTAATATAGTAGGAAACGAATAAATTTTGCTTACTCCGCTCACATTCCCAAAAACATGACGACTCCAGGAATTACCATCAAATCTGTTCTCCGAATTACTACTAGACCATAAACTTGAAATACAGTTAACTACTTTAAAAAATTCATCCAAATCTCGATTTGAATTAACTAATTCGGAATTTTGACGCGATGGTTTCCCTCAACCCGCCAGTCACGTACCGTCTGGCCGGGTAATAGCCGCCCTTTTTATAAATGAAAACCCTGTTCTGCTCACCCCTAGAGCCTTCAATTCGGCAAAGTGTTTGTGGCCAGAAATCGTCACGCGATCCCCGGGGACCATTCCGGGAGCTTACTATTTTCAATTTCGTTTCAATTTCAATTCAAAATTGAAATTCCACTGACCACTTGCGGGGAGAAGGATCTAGGGAATCCGTAGATTCTAAATCCGACTTACATTGCTGGAATGGGGGTCGGTATACGGTTGC